AAATGTTCCTTTACAAAAAAGATAAAATTTAGCGTCACAACTAGTGATGTTTCCCATGTGTGCTGAGGATGAAGTACTCACACTAAAATGTTTAAACCGAATCTATTCAGACATTTAAAACATTAAACATCCCGTTCAGAAAATCAAGGCAGGGAACAAGTTAAACAATACCATGAGAAAACAGTAAGACAGATGTGGAGTATTCTATAACTAGCCCGCTCTCTTTGAAGAAATCAGAGTTATTAAGAAAAAAAACAGTGTAAGGACTCTTCTGGCCTGAGATTAGACATAACAATTGCGATGAGTGAGGCTCAATGGAACTGTGGTTTTAAAAAAGAGCAACACTTTGGAGACAACTGGGTAGTCTCAATAGGCATCTGCTTCACAGCAGGCATCATTACTCCCATTTTATAGACAGCATGTGGAAGCTAGGAGCTATGGGACAATTTGTTCAAGCTCTCATAGCCTGTTATATGGCAGGGCCAAGATCAGAACACAGCAAAGAACCCACATCCTCTTTGGGGATCACTGTCCACCTGGCACCACTTCTGCCCACTGCCTGAGCTGGCACTCTACACACCTGGGATACAATCAGTGTCCTGTTTCTGCCTTTGTCCCCAAAAGCCCATTGTCCACACAGTAGCCAGAAGGAGAGGGGGCTGTTAAAATCCAAGCCAGCCAATGGCTCCCACGTGAGTTAGAAAAAGGCAACGTTGGCAGGGCACGGTGGCTCATGCCTATAATCCCAGCACTTTGGGAGGCCGAGGCAGGCAGATCATGAGGTCAGGAGATCGAGACTATCCTGGCTAACACGGTGAAACCCCGTCTCTACTAAAAATACAAAAAAAAAAAATTAGCTGGCCGTGGTGGCAGGCGCCTGTAACCCCAGCTACTCGGGAGGCTGAGGCAGGAGAATGGCATGAACCTGGGAGGCGGAGCTTGCAGTGAGCTGAGATCACGCCAGTTCACTCCAGCCTGGGCAACAAAGCTAGACTCAGTCTCAAGAAAAAAAAAAAGAAAAAGGCAACATTTTTATAACAACCAACGAGGCTCCACCATCCCCTCATCTCCTGCCACATACCCTCTCATACAATCCACTTCCTGTTTCTCTAACACACCGGTCTTCTTGTTGTTCCTCTAATGCACAGAGCAGGCTCCAGCCTCAGGGTCTTGCACTAGCTCTTCCCTCTGCCTGGGATACTCTTCTAGACAGCCCCACAGCTCCCCCTCCAACTATCTTTGAGTGAATGTTAAAATGCCGCTTTTTCAGAGGCCTTTTCCAATCACCCTCACGAAAAGCAGCCAACTTCCCCTCCCATCCCTCACTCTGCTTTAATCTCTCCACAGTGCTTCTTACTACCTGATGTGCCCCATGGCCATACTGTCAGTCTCCTCATCATAAGCAAAGCCCCACCAGATCAGGTCTTTGTCTATTTAACTAGCCACGTCCCTAGAGCCTGGCTTGCTGCTGTTGCTCAAAAAATATGTGCTATGGGAAGGCAAACAGTCTTGCTGCAGCCCCGCCCCAACAGTTACAGCCTGTGTGCCTCAAGACAGCACGCATCAGGGGAAGCCATCTGAGGCATCTCTGCTGAGCGTGAGCCTCCCTCCAGACAGATCACCAACCAAGAGATACCTAGCAAGGGAGTGGATGGAATAAAGCAGAGGAGAAGGGGGGAACGAAGCTAAGGAAAGCAAGGGGCTTGAGGGAGACTGCAGCAAAGTGGCCACACCTGCCCTGCAAGCCTCAGCAGCCCTCTAGTCAACCTCCCGAGGACATAAGGTTGAGGGGCTCTTGGTTTGTCTCAGTTAGAAGCCGGGAGGCTACACCTGACTTAAACCTGATCCCAAGGACAAAATGTCCAGTTACAGTTACTTTTTAAGAAGAAAAAAGAAAACATTCCTTCAATCCCCTTGAGTTTGCTCTCACAATGGCAGGCACACGGCCTGCTGAAGTAAGTAAAAGAGTTCTAAACCTAGCTGTGTGCCAGAACAAGCTCAACAGTAAAGATGACAAAGCTACTGGAGGCAGCAGGGAGGGGCCGTGAGAATTCACTGGCTCCTAAAGGCACTTACTTGGCAGGTTACCTTTCCACCACCTCCCTCCCACCTCAATGCCTGTCATGCTCCTAGGAGATGCTTAGCTGGTGATAGTGAACTTTGTATTTTTCCCTGTGGTACCACAGAGGTTGTGCACGCCTTCCTTTGAGGCCTTGCCCATGCTATGCTCTGCTAGAAGGTCACGGAAGTCACCAGAGGGACCCTTGAGAGTGGCATCAACGTGACTGACAGCCATTAGTGGCATTTAAAGCATCCACATGGTAAAGGTCAGTCTGTGCTTTGCATCCCTCTTTACTTACTTCCATCCCTTACTTCCATCCCTCTTTCTCTGGACCCATGCCCACATCAGCAGTAGTGGACACCTGGCAAGAGCAGACCGGATCAAGAGTGTTCACCTTACTCAAACTCTCCTTCTCAGGAAAAGTAACAATCAGAATTACAGCCAAGAAATCTGAGCCAGACACTCAAAAGAAGACAGAGAAGCTGGGCATGGGGAGGGGTGAGGGGTGAGCATTCAGGGGACTTCCACCACCCACCGGTTGGGAGAAGCAGAAAAACAAAAATCTCTTAACAGGAGACTACAGAGGCAGTCAGGCAGGAAACAAAACAACAAGCAAACAACGCCAAAAAACAGAGATGAGAACTAGGGGCATCATGATTCTTTCTTTCCCCTTCTTGGGGCCCAGTGGGCTTCTGCCTTTGAAAACCCCTAAAACGTTTATGATAATCTCCACCTTCTGATCATGTTCCCCCAGGATGGATTCTGTTCCCAGTGACTTAAAAGCCTTAACTGCTACAGATGAGATCTCACAGTGCCTACCCACTCCTCTCACGCCCCCATAGGTCTCAAACAGGTTATTCCTGGGAGGCTGGTGACAAAGACCCACGGGAACAAAGCCGCCAGCCTGCTCGAAAACAGTCTATTCTGTGAGCATAAGGCAGAGCTGGCTTCTCACTAAGGCGTCTTTATAGGGCTTATCAAAACGACACAAAAAAGAAAGCTTTTGTCCTAATGCATGCCAGGGTCCTGCTGCTGTTCTGGGAACATGTGGGTGGGTGCCACCCGCGAGGAAAACACAGACTTCAAGAGGCACTGGAAACCCTGATGGTGTTCTGGGTCTCATGACCATCTGTTCTCATAGGAAAAGGCTCCAGACATGCTGTGTGGGGATATTTCACCAAGAGGCATGGTGAAGTGCGGCACTGCCTACACGCTGGGGTCCAGTCCTGTTGGCAGCACCAGAACATGGGTGAGCATGAGGGGCAGACGTGGGAGTGGGACACATGCTTCCAAGCACCCCAGTGTGGCTATGTACAAGCTAGGGTGGGGAGGGGTGCGGCCAGAAGGCAGCTCCTCACGGCTGGAGTCCCAGTCTTTGCCCCAGTTGGCTGCGGAACTGAATGAACTGCCCACTCACCCTGGCACTGTAAATGGTTATTCTTCTCATCCTTCGGATCAAAAATCACCAAACGGATGCACTTTCATCTACCAGACCTCCCAGGCTCAGGTGCTGACTGTGGCCTACAAGGACAGCTATCTAAAACATCAAAAGCACTTTCCAGATTCTTTCACAGACATGAGACTGCTCCCCACAAAGATGGGTTTCAGTAACTCCTCCTTTGGCAGCATTTTTAAAGTGCTAGTCCTTAACTTCTACCTCCTGCTCCCATTTCTACCCATGGAGAAGGGCCATAGAAATAAAAGGGCATGGGAGAAGGGATGTTGGCTGCCTTTTCCTCTTTCCAGTGAAAGTCATTTCCCTCAATAGAGGGATCCCTCCATGTTTCCATTATTTGGAAGGGAAAGGTGGAGTTTATTAGTGAGCAACCTGGCCAAAACTGCCCACAGCCTACTACCCAGGAGGAGGAAGAGGAGGAGAGGGAGTGGGAAAACAGGAGGAGGAGGAGGAAAACAGAGGAAAGGGTGGGAAGGTTGAGAAAGGGGAAGGAGGAGGGGGAGGGAAGGTTATTCGTATCAACAACTGTGGCTACACCAATCACTCCCACCCTTGCAGGACCAACAGCCCACAGACAAGGTGTCTCCGCCAACTCAGCTCTCGCCTTCCCCCCGTCCATACAAACCAGAACGACCTTGTAAGGGCAAGGAGTAAAAGAGGGTCCCAAGGCACACGACTCTGATGTTTGAATTCTGGCTGGGGAGGGGGAGGTGTCTAAAATTTCCTTTGGCTTATATTATCACTGTTTATTAGCCTCCAGATTCTTTATCTTTAAAATGGAGATGAGAAAAGTCTCTACTTTTAGAAGAGCTGGGGGACTAAATTACACGTGCAGCTTTCGGTCAGCCTGAGCCATCGCTACCACTAAGCCTTGGATTTGTAAGTGGCTCAAAAGTAAAAAGACGGAAAAAGGCTGTGCAGCTCTACTTCCCTGAAGGCCAGGAAGAGCCAAAGCAATGACTTAGGAAGTGGGATGTTTCCCCACCCGCGGCAAAGGGGCGAATTCCGAGTTCCCCGGAGGAAGCAGCAGCTCTGCAGACTCGCAATTACCTCGTCCTTATCTCCAGTGAAGGGAGGGATGGAAGTGGGGGCAGGGGCACAGAAATGGTACAAATCCTTCCTAATGGTCCCAGGCCAGAGCTCTGACCATTCCTGAAAGTGTGACCTTGGGAAAGTGACTTCGTCTCGCCAAGCCTCAGTTTCCTCATCTGTGCAGTGGGCAAAAGGGCAGCATCTAAGGTGCAGAAATGCTTCTGATGGGCTAGATAACGCCTAGCCCGCAGCCAGCGCTCACAACCGCCGATTCAGACCCGCCTGGGTTCCGCAAGCCCGGGGCTGCCCCTGAGCCACCGCCCAGGCCTCAGCCTCAAGCCATGCGGGCCTCGCCGCCGCCACGCCCCGGGCCCCCAGGCCTTGGCGGCCAGTCGCACCCGGGCTTGGGACTCTGGCCCAGGCCCCCACCCCGCCTGGCCCCCGACTCACCGGTGTAGTGCACCACGCAGGTCTGGCCGCGCTTCGGGAAGGTGCGCCCTGAGGAGACAGAGACGGGCACGGTGAGCGGATGCGCGCGGCGGCGGTACTCCGGACCGCCGCGCGCCACTACTCACCGTCTCCTGGGGAGATGGTTTCCACCTGCACTCCCATGGCGGCGGCGGACGCTGAGCGGGCGGGCAGCGCGACGGGCGGCGTGGAGCGACAGCGACCTGGCGACAGTTCCACGGCTCTCCCTAGTCCCTCGGCTCGTCGCCTGCGCACGCGCACGCCCCCTCACGCCCAGCCCTGCGTGCGCGCCCCACACGGCGCGCACGTCCCGGAAACCCAGGCCTCCGGAAGAGGGACCGGAATCCCGGAAGCCCCGAGGCCTCCGGATGCAGCTGTGTTTGCCAGGTGAGTTCTTCGTTCTCCCGCCCTTCCTCTGTGCTTGCAGCGGGTTAAGCATCTCCCTGCCCAAAGAATGGGAGTAATAATAGGGGGTCCGCCAGTCACTGACTGGGTGACTGTTATCAGGTTTCCACTTCTAAGCACACAGTTACTTATCCTGGGAAGGGCATGGTTCGGAGAAGACAGCGCACAGGTGGTACTATGTTAGCATTTTATAAGTGGCTCGAGGTTCTGAGTTCTGCTTTTCTTCACTGGAGGAGGAGTTGTCCAAATTCATTCATTCACTCACCCATAGCTTACATGCATACATTCTTATTGAGCATGTGAAAGTTGATAATACGAATTGGGTCACTCTTGTTATGCCCAACGGAATCAGAATCCAGTGGCCAGGGGAAAAGCAGTGGAGGCACACAGCACCTGCTCCAAGAATTAATATTTCCACTGACTCTGCTGCTGAAATGACCTGCTGTCTCGCTAAGACCAGATTGAGCTAGTAACTGCTGAAACAACCTGCCAGAACCTAATACTAGTTTTACTTACCACTGTCAGTCACCAATCAGAGCTTGCCAGCTCCCTGAAACTTTACTAGTGCCAATGTGCTTTCTTTCAAAACAATACATTTCTCTTTCTTATAAAACTCCCAGCCTTCTCTTTGTTCTTTGGACATACCAAAGACCACCAGATCTGTGTGTATGCTCCAAGTTGCAATTCCTGCTTCCCCAAATAAAACATTACATTTAGAGATTCATCTCTATATTTTATTTTGACTTTGACAAGCACCTTCTATATGTCATGTACTGTCCTTGGTGCTGAGGATACAGCAGTGAAGGAGTCAGACCTACTCCCTGACCTCACAGAGTCTACGTGTCAGGTGAGAGAGGTGATCAAATAACCTGTTTAAGTAAAAAAAAGATATGGAATAAATGTAAAGTTTCAAATCTATAATACTATGAGATAGTAATACATGCTGTGAGAGGCATGTTAATATAACAGAGATGCCTGATTTAGTCTGTAATGTGGTCAGATAGTTCCCTGAGTTAGCTAGGTTTAGCCAAGGTTAGAAGGCCAATTGTGTGTATGTGTTGGGGTAAGGGAAGGCAGAAGGAGCAGTACCTGCAGAGGCACTGTAACCCAAGAGAACACTGTGATATGGTCCAGGACATAAAGAGGCACATGTGACTAATCTTTCTCTGATCTCTGTGTGTGTACTTCTGTATTAGTCCAGTCTCACACTGCTATAAAGAATACCTGAGGCTGGGCACAGTGGCTCATGCCTGTATTCCCAGCACCTTGGGAAGCTGAGGCGGGCAGATCAGTTGAGGCCAGGCATCCAAGACCAGCCAGGCCAACATGGTGAAACTCAGTTTCTACTAAAAATACAAAAAAATTAGCCAGGCATGGTGGCACATGCTTGTAATCCCAGCCACTTGGGAGACTGAGGCATAAGAATTGCTTAAACCTAGGAGGCGGAGGTTGTAGTGAGCCAATATTGCACCCCTGCACCCCAGCCTAGGTGACAGAGTGAGAATCTGTCAAAAAACAAAAAACAAACAAACAAAAAAACCCTGAGACTGGGTACTTTATGGAGGAAAGAGGTTTAATTGACTCACAGTTCTGCATGTCTGGGAAGCCTCAGGAAACTTACAATCATGGCAGAAGGGGAAGCAGGCATATCTTACATAGTGGCAGGCAAGAGAGAGAGTACGTGAAGAGGAACTGTCAAACACCGATAAAACTATCAGTTCTCATGAGAACGCACTCACTATCATGAGAACAGCATGGGGGAAACCACCCGTAGTGTTTTAAACATGACCTCACAGTTTTTCGACACGCTTACCCTCATCTATGTCCCCTTTCCTAAAATCTCAGTGAGCTTGTGACTGTTCTGGAAATTTTAATAGTGTAAGAATACAGGCTGTAACAGAACCAAATTAACTGTGGCTGAAAAGAGACTGAAGTTGCTGTCTCTTTCATGTAACAGTTCAGAGGCAGATGGTTCAGTGCAGGTGGGACTTCACAGGCTGCCCGGGGACTCATCCTTCTTCTACTTGTGGCTCCCCATCCTTAGAATCCTACCCTCATATACATGGTCCAAATTGGCTCTCCAATATATTTTCATCTCAACTAGTGGCAAGGGAGAAAGGAGGAATGTGAGGGTACATTCTCATTTCCTTTAAGGGCATGACTTAGAATTGCACACATCTCTTCCCCTCATACTTCACATTGACTATAACAGTTATATGGTCAAATTTAGCTGCATGGGAGGCTAGGAAATATAGTCTTCATTCTGGATGTAAACACACCCAACTAAAATCAGAGGTTCTGTGCTCATAGAATGGAAGACTGAATATTGAAAGAGGAAATTTAAAAAAGGCCCCAGCAGTTGCCAGGACACTGCTTCACACCACCTAGAGAAAATCAGACTGCAGAGAGAATAAATGATGGAGAATGAGAGCAACCAGGGGCAAGAGAGTTCCTAGATTCAGTTTTCCCTGAAGCCTAGCAAGATAAGGCTTGCCTCACATTCATCCTGTGGTCTCTCTCATGGCTCTGAATTGGGTATCGGTTCAAAACATAGACCTGCTTTTGAGACAGTGGCCATCCCAATCCATGTATATAAGCTTTGTTTATATACATGGGGCTTCCCAAGAACCTCACATTTGCACCACTTCTTCCTCAGTGCTTTGAGAAAACACAGGAAAGCATGTAGCTATCAGTTCAGCCACCAGATCTGAGATGAATTGGACCTGAGGACAAGGGGCATTTATTAATCATTTATCTGATTTTTTTAAATAACTGGGAGAGTTCCTTTCTAAATTAGTTTAGATTCTGTTTATATATAACCTAGTTATTAATTAACAACTCTGTTAAGTATTTAAGTTCTTTGGGATCACCCTTTAGCAAACCAGAACTAAAAACAGAAAGTGAATGACTCTAAGAGGTGGAACTGGGAGAAAGAGCAGGAGATTCTGACTTTCATTTAATACCATTCTGAACTGATTAAATTTATTTTTACTCTCTTTGTGTAACAGGAGACAGGGAATCATTTCAGTCTGAAGTCATAAGCATCCCTGAAGACAAGGGGAAGTGACTCCTTCCCTGAAGCTCTAAAACCTGAAAAATGGGGGTTGGATTTCCTTGCATTTATCCTGTTCGTGGTTTACTCAGCTTCCTGAGTATATAGGTGTATGCCTTTCACCACATTTGGGAAGTTTTCAGCCATTATTTCTTCAGATATTTTCTTCTGCTCCATTCTGTTTCTCCTGTCCTTCTCAGATCCTGATAACACAAACATTAGATATTTTGGAATTGTCTCCACAGTTGCCTGAAGTTCTGTTCAGTTTCCCCCAGTCCTTTTTCTCTGTTGTTCAGATTGGATAATTTCTATTTTTCTATCTTCGAGATCACTGGCATGTTTCCCTGCAATCTCCATTCTGCTATTGTACCCATCTGTTGGGAGCTGAAAAGGCCAAAGGGATCTTGACCAACTCAGCATTCCACTGGAGGCTATATGATCAAATAGCCAACTGTTTATCATGAATGCAGGATGTGGGCAAACTCACAACTGCGCCTGCCACCAGGAGGTTTGCTGAGGGCAATCACCCCCTGGCACTGTGCTCACTGAGGTTATCTACTGGGACATCTAGAGCCTATTGTTTGAAGACTGCAGTCTTGCAAGCCTGCTGTAAATCAAACTGCTAACCGACAATCACCCCCCACTTCTCGCTGTCTCTTTTGCCTAATAAATGCAAAGGGCTCTAAAGCTCAGGCCCCTTGTTTACTAGAAGCAAGGAGCCCCCTGACCCTTCTTTCAAATATACTCTCTTGTCTTTGTCTTTTATTCCCACGTTTGCCCCCTTTGTTCTGTCCCTCAAGGTCCATGCAGGTGACAAATTGCGACCCAGAACAGGGACTCCAAGGATGTCAGATAAGTGGCATCCGAACACAGATACTTTGAGGATGTGAACAAAGAAGGTCTGCTGGAGCAGAGGAACTGAAATTGACAAGACGCATGGGGACCCCAGGATGAGTCTGCCGACAGCGGATATAAGGTCAGTGCCCTAAAGAGGTACTGGGAATGATATAAGGTCGGTGCTCTAAATAAGTACTGGGAATGGGAAGTTTTCTGAATCAGGGTAACATGAAGCAGAATTTATCTATTGAAGAAAAACATTATGTGCAGTTGCTTCAAGTTCTGTTGAGACAGTCTGGAGCTCAGGTTAATTCGCAGGCACTAACTAACCTCCTGCAGAAGCCACAAAATGTTATTACACATAACCCATGGTTTCCACAGGCAGGCACTCTTGATGTGAACAATTGGGATAGACCAGGAGAAGGATTAAAACAGGCTCATCAAAAAGGTCTTAAAGTTGATTCTTCTGTTTTCTCCACTTGGAGTCTAATTCGTACTGTTCTTCCACCATTATCTCCTTGTTATTCTGCTGGACAGCAGGCTGAGTCTAAAAATCTGAAAGAATCTGTTGTCCCACCCACAGCTCCAATTGAAAATAAAAAACAGGAGAGGGAGGATAAAAATTGGCCTATACCGCCCCCTCCAGTTGCAGAAACGTCTGTACTGCCTCCTTTGGTAGTAGAAATAGAGACCCCAATGCAAAGAAATTTACGCTCTGCTTCCATAGCTGGAGAGCCCCTAGGACCTTGCACTTTTCCTATTTCTGTAAGGCCTGATCCAAATAATCCACAGCAGTTTATTCATGAACACACCCTACTAGAGTTTAAGTTGTTGAAGGAATTAAAAATGAGTGTAATTAATAATGGGGTACAGAGCCCATTCACTTTAGGATTGCCAGAATCTGCATTTGGTGGTATGTGTCTTCTACCCTTTGATGTAAAACACTTGGCTCAAACTTGCTTGTCTACTAGTGCATATCTGACATGGAATTTAAATTGGCAAGAACTGTGTGCAGACCAGGCTAGATAGAACCATGTTGCTGGACACGGAGACATTACAGAGGATATGCTATTGGGTAATGGCCCTTATTCAGACCTGGAACGGCAAATGGCACTCCCAGATGCTGCTTATCAGCAGACTGCACAGGCTGCTAAACGCACCTGGGCCACGATTCCTGAAGAGGGAGTCCCAGTACAATCCTTTTTACATATCATGCAAGGGTCACAGGAACCCTATGCGCAATTTCTTGCAAGATTACAAGAGGCAGTGAAGCATCAAATTCCTCATGCCATTGCCACGGAAATGCTAACCTTAACTTTAGCTTTTGAGAATGCAAATGCAGATTGTAAACGTGCACTGGCACCTGTGAAGTGTACAGAAAACTTGGGAAATTTTCTCAGAGCTTGTCAGGATGTAGGAACCGAACTTCATCGCTCTTCAATGTTAGCACAAGCAATGGCTAATCTAGTAGTTGGCAAATCTAAAAGGAGCCAAGGATTAAGCCCTAAAGTAGGAAAATGTTGTAATTGTGGAAAAACTGGACATTTTAAAAAGGAATGCCGCCAGATCTCAGGACAGAAGGGATCTTATAATGCAGTCCCCCCCCGTAGTGGAAAAAATGCCAGGACTCTGTCCTCGCTGTAACAAAGGAAATCACTGGGCTAATCAGTGCCGCTCAAGATTTCATCAGAATGGCAACCCCTACTGTCGGGAAATGAGAAGGGGGCCTGGACCTGGGTCCCTCAAACAATGAGGGCATTCCCAGTTCAGACCACAACCCCATTTCAGGGGTGGGTCCCAGGAGAAACATTGATTCCCTCACTCCAGGAACACCAGGAAGTGCAGGATTAGATCTCCCAGTTAGAGAACAGGTAATGTTAGCTGGTGGAGACATATCTATCAAAATTCCCACTGGCATGTGGGGACCTTTACCAGACAGATACATGGGACTAATTTTAGGCACAAGCCACCTTAACTTGCAAAGCATCATTGTAGTCCCAGGAGTTGTTGACTCCGATTATGAAGGAGAAATTCAAGTAGTTTTAACGTCACAAGATCTTCGGGTTTTTGAACTGGGAGAATATATAGTGCAATTATTGCTTATTCACAGGAAATTATACCCTTCTCCACGAAAGGAGAAACAAGGAAATAAAGGGTTTGGGAGCACAACTACATGATAAATCTATTCATCACAACCTATAGCCTCTAATAGACCCACCTGTGTAGTACATATTAAAGGAAAGAAATTTTATGGGCTTATGGACACTGGAGCGGATGTGTCAGTAATATCCAGTAAGGACTGGCCCCCAGCATGGCCTCTCCGCTAACCTCCACATCCCTAGTGGGAATAGGAGCAGCTAAAAGTGTTCAACAGAGTGCTGAGATTTTTATGTTGTCTTGGTACGGATGGACAACTGTGTACTTTTCAGCCTTACATTGAAAATATAGCTATCAATTAATGGGATCAAGACTTACTTACAGCATGGGATATGAGACTTACAAATGAAAACTTTGATAACCCACAATTTAAAATGTTGAAGGATGTGGGATATCAGAGTGGGAAAGGTTTAGGGAAATTCCTACAAGGGAACCCTAACCCGATATCAGTAACTGGAAAGACAGGTTAAACCCTGCAGGGAGATTCTTCATTAAATTCCCCATGGCAATTAACCAAAGAGGCAGAAGTTGAGCTCAGGAACAGCATGCCTCCTGGCTACAGCTGCAGAAACCTTTGCTTTCATCATCCCTCAGACAAAATTTTGCAGTTTTATAAAGTCCATTCTTTCATTCTTCCTGTGATTACTCATCACAAGCTTCTTCCAGGTGGCCAGACTTATTTTACTGATGGCTCTTCCAAAAGTCGTGCAGCCATTTATGGACCTAAACATACTCAAACAATAATGACCTCTGGGGTTTCAGCTCAACGTTCAGAGTTGATCGCAGTCATTTAGGTTTTACAGCTCACAGCTGCAGATCCTATCAACATTGTCTTTGATTCAGCTTATGTTGTAAATGTAGCCAGTTGCATAGAAACTGCTACAATTAAAAGTACACTGGACCCAGAACTGCTTAATTTGTTTCACTTATTCACTTATTCTCATATGTTGCAAGCTACATGCCAAACCGGTGAGACAGCTGGTCATGTACGGCCACATTGTCTGTCATCATTGCTCATATGGGGATTCCTAAACAATTAAAAACTGACAATGGACCCGCTTATACTAGTCATGCTTTTCAAAATTTGTTATACCTTTGGGCTATAACCCATAAGGAATTCCTTACAACCCTCCAGGAGAAGGCATTATAGAGCGGGCACATCAAACATTACAATGTATGTTGAATAAACAAAAAGGGGGAGTAGGAGACCAGTTACCACCTCAAACAAAATTACATTTAGCTTTATTTACTTTAAATTTTTTGACTCCTGGTATGGATGGTAGAACTCCAGCAGAAAGACATTGACAAGTGTTAGAGGAAAAGAGGAAAGTTTATCCAAAAGTGTTATAGAAATCCCCAGAAGAAGGATGATGGACAGGTCCGGTGGATATACTGACGTGGGGAAGAGGGTATCCTTGTGTTTTTACAAGAGGTGGACAAACCGCGTGGGTGCCCTCGAGGTGTGTGTGGCCATGGAACGGGAGACTGGAGGAACCCAGGGTGGCCAACCATGGGCCCAGTCTCTCGGGTACAGGTCATGAGCCAGCTGAGCCTGACTGCGAAGATGGAGAGAAGGCCGACGGGAGTCACAACACAGTCTTAATGTTAATTTGTAAAGAATATCACCACTCAATTTACAGTTTGTGTTTTTAATCCTTATGTGTTTCTGGCACCTAAGAAGGACCAGCTCCAGGTAAACAATACCCAATTGACCTGTAAATCTTGCCAGTAATATCACTGCATTAATCATAGCACATCGCAAACACATAATACCCCTACTTTGATAATTTTGGGTTGCATCCCTGGATGATGGATTCCTGTTAATATGTCCGAGCCTTGGGCTGCCACCCCTGCTTTACACTTTGTGAAACATCTTCCAACTCAACTTACTCATCGTGTCTGTAGAGCCTTAGGCATGATAATTTTTGCTGTGGTTTCCTTAGTCACACTAATAACTTCTGTTGTGATGTCCTCTGTAGCTTTGCATAGTTCTGTTCAAACGTCTCTGTGCATGGAGAACTGGACACAGCCAACCAAGTACAGCCAACCAAGCATGGCTACTTCAGAATAAAATTAACACTGAGTTACAAACTGAAGTGACAATGTTGAAATCCCCATGGTTAGGGGAACAAGCACAAAGTTTACAATTGCAACAGCAGTTGTGCTGTCATTTTAATCGCACTCATATTTGTGTAATCAACTTAGAATATAAGCAAAGTGAGTATCCCTGGGACGTTGTGAAAGCCCATTTGCAGGGAGCTTTCACATCCAACATCACCTTTGATATTGGTGAATTACAAAGCAAAATTCTTGATTTAAATAAGCAAACTCAAGAGTTTCAGCCTTCTTTAGAAGCCTGGACCGAATTCCAGCAAGGCCTGGAGAGCCTCAGCCCTTGGGCCTATCTAAGGCACCACATTTACATCTTATATGTAGTTCTTCAATAACGTTTTCTGTTCTGTTCATAGTCTGTAAAATCAGATCTCTGTTTTCTGTTCATAGTCTGTAAAATCAGATGGACTGCCAAGTGGAAAATGAGAGCTGCCCAGCCTGGGCTTACATTCTTTCAATTAATTCATAAACAGAAAGGGGAAATGCTGGGAGCTGAAAAGGCCAAAGGGATCATGACCAACTCAGCATTCCACTGGAGGCTATATGATCGAAGAGCAAACTGTTTATCTTGAATGCAGGATGTGGGCAAACTCACAACTGCACCTGCCACCAGGAGGTTTGCTAAGGGCAATCACTCCCTGGTGCCATGCTCATTGAGGTTATCTACTGGGACATCTAGAGCCTATCATTTGAAGCATGCAGTCTTGCAAGCCTGCTGTAAATCAAACTGCCAACCAACAATCACCATCCCCCCTTCTCACTATCTCTTTTGCCCAATAAATGCGAAGGGCTCTAAAGCTCAGGGCCCTTGTTCACTAGAAGCAAGGAGCCCCCTGACCCCTTCTTTCAAACATACTCTTTGTCTTTTATTCCCATGTTTGCCTCCTTTGTTCAGTCCCCAAGGTCCGTGCAGGTTACATGCCCATCCAGGAATTTGTTGTTGTTGTTCTCATTTTATTTTTTAGTTCTAACATTTCCACTTTGTTCTTCCTTATATGTTCTATTTTATTTGCTTAAACTTTCCATCTTGGCTGAGTGCGATGGCTCACACCTGTAATCCCTGCACTTTGGGAGGATGAGGCAGGCAGATTGCTTGAGGCCAAGAGTTTGAGACCAGCCTGGCCAACATGGTGAAACCCCATCTCTACTAAAAGATACAAAAATTATCTGGGTGTGGTGGCACTTTCCTGTAATCCCAGCTACTCAGGAGGCTGAGGCAGGAGAATTGCTTGAACCTGGGAGGTGGAGGTAACAGTGAGCCAAGATCTTGCCACTGCACTGGGCGACACAGCAAGACTCTGTCTCAAAAAATAAATAAATAAAAATGAAAAATGAATTTTCTATCATTTTATTTATTTCCAGATTATTTCTACACAGAGCAGAGGCACTGTGACCCGAGAGAACACTGTGACCTGAGAGAACACTGTGACATGGTCTAGGACACAGGGAGGCAGATGTGAGTAATCTTTCTCTGGTCTCTGTGTGTGTGCTCCTATATTAGTCCGTTCTCACACTGCTCTAAAGAATACCTGAGGCTGGGCACGATGGCTCATGCCTGTAATCCCAGCACTTTGGGAGGCTGAGGCGGATGGATCACTTGAAGCCAGGAGTTCAAGACCAGCCTGGCCAACATGGTGAAACCTGTTTCACAAAAGAGTTCCTGGATTCAATTTTCCCTGAATCCAGGGAAAGTTTTCAGCCATTATTTCTTCAGATATTGTTTGAACATTTTAAAATTTTTACTTGTTTAAAAATTTGTGTAATAGCCACATTAAAGACTTTGCCAGACAACTCCAAGAGCTGTGTCATTTCAGCATTGACATCTGTTGATTGTCTTTTCCTGTGTGAGCTGAGATTTTAATGTTTTTTCCACAAGTCAAGTAATTTTGGACTATATCATAGACATTTTGATTTTCATAATATTCTGAACCTTTTTAAAAAATCCTATCGAGAATGTTGGTATTTTTGTTTTTACAGATAATTGACCATATTGGACTTAGGCTGTGAGCTCCAACCAGCCTTCTGCGGGTAGTGATTTCAGTGTCAGTTCTGTTTTCAAAGGTTTTCCACTGTCATTTGGACCGTTCTTATATGTGCACCACTCAGTGGTCTATCTAAGACCTGGGCAGTGATATATCCTTTAGTTAAGTTCTGAAAGTCTGTGTGAGTTGTTTAGTATTTAATTCACACATGCAAAACAGAGGGATGAGCCCAGAAGTTCATAGCAACTTTATTCGGTTACTTTCCCAAGCTCTTCCCTCTCTTCTTAATACTTTTTTTTTTTTTAAATTCTGGGAGGCTCCTCTTTTTGGTTCTCTAATCAGAAGTATGAGGCCTATTTATCCTGTTAGGCCAGCCACTGCCTATGTCTATACCTGTGTTTGGGACCAAGCAGTGAGTGAACACAGACAGAAAAAGCAAGAGAAGTCTGTCCTACCCTCTTAGGACAATAGCTCCTCTGATTGTAGAGGAAGGTTCTTATCTGTCAGTTTTAGGCTTTATAGGCCATCATTGCTGTTGCTGCCACTATCACAAGGACTTCTTGGGGGATAGGGTACAAGTGAATTGAAAAAAGAAAAATAAAGGGAAATGTCCTTCATTCTGGGCATTTGGAGGCCTTTTTCTGCTCCTTAAACCAGAGTTAGAGGACTTTTCCTGGAGATTTCTCTGTCTGCGCTGCTATACATTTCCAGGTTTCAAGCTGCACTGAGTCCAGCCCGGGAAATATTGGAGGAAAAAAATAGTAAACTAACTGCTGGCCCCATGGTGCTTCACATTCTGGTTTTATCCCTCAATCTATCTGTTACCATTAATTTTTCAAAGTTCTTAAATAGTAACTCCTTGCATTTTGTCCAGGTTTTATAGCTGCATTCACTGGGAGAAGTGGGGCACAGTGCACTTACTCCATCTCACCTGAACCAAGCTCTGTTCTCTTTAATTTTTAAAAAAGAATTCTTTCCAGAGACAGAGAGAGACAATGATAAAACAAGTTAAAATGTTAATAGTTGGGGAGTCTAAGTGGTGGCTAAAATGGGAAGTCTTCATACAATGTTTTGGAGCATTTTTTGTAAGATTGAAGTTATTTGAAAAAAAAAAAATTTAACTCTGGTAGAACAAATATGGATGTATAGAAACCCCTCATAAGAATAATAAAAAATAAAACAACAAAATAGCTTTTCTTTTTTTCTTTTCTTTTTCTTTCTTTTTTTTTTTTTTTTTTTTTTTTTTTTTGAGACGGAGTCTTGCTCCGCCACCAGGCTGTAGTGCAGTGGCGCGATCTCGGCTCACTGAAACCTCTACTTCCCGGGTTCACGCCATTCTCCTGCCTCAGCCTCCCGAGTAGCTGGGACTACAGGTGCGTGCCACCATGCCCAGGTAATTTTTGTATTTTTAGTAGAGACGGGGTTTTACCATGTTGGTCAGGCTGGTCTCGATCTTGTGACCTCATGATCTGCCTGCCTCAGCCTCCCAAAGTGCTGCGATTACAGGCATGAGCCACCACGCTCGGCCCCAGTAGCTTTTCATTTAAAACAATCTCTCTGTTGGGGTGAGCGTTAAAGCAACTCAAGCTGTTGCTTGCCTCCCAACCCTGCTTCCTGAGATGGCATCTGGGGGTAGGTAAAGGCTTCAGATCCTCTTGGAGTTGGGGGTGAGGGTGCTGCCTGGGCTGCTCATGTGTGGACCCAGGAAGAGGTGGTCATTCTGATATTCCTAAGGACATCTGTGGCAAAAGATGATTCTGGTTATCTATTGTTTTGGAAAGCAACAGCAATCATTTTGCTCATAGGTTTTCAATTTGAGCAGGCTTGGTGGGTAAGTCTAGTCTGTATGTCGTCTGGATGGCTGAAAGGCTGAGGGTGACTTGACAGCTGGAGGCTGAAATCATCTGAATGTTCACTCACTCACATGTGAGGACTTGTTGCTGGGATCTCAGCTGGGTCTATCAGTTAATGGCTTAGTAAGTTCCTGCTGCTATAACAAAACACCTTAGACTGGGTGGCTTAAACAACACACATTTATTTCTCACAGTTCTGGAGGCTGGGAAGTCCAAGATTAAGGTGCTGGCAGATTACAGTGCTTGGAGAGGGCTCTCTTCCTGGCTTGTGGACAGTTGCCTTCTCATGGTATCCTCACATGGTGGAAAGAGAAAGCTCTGGTGTCTCTTAATCTTCTTATGTGGGCATTAAACCCATCATGGGGACTTCACCCTCATGACCTCATCTAAACCTAATTACTTCCAAGGCCCCATCCCCTAATACCATCACATTGAGAGTTAGAGCTTCAACATACAAATTTGGGGGGTGGAGTGGGAGAGTACATGGACATTAGGTCTATAACAACCAGAATACCTATATGTGGCTTCTCTATGTGGCTGTTTGGCTTCCTTACAGCAGGGTGGCTGGGTTCCAGTAGGGAGTGTCCCAAGAGAAACAAATGGAAGCTATATCACATTTCAATGACCTCATCTTGGAAGTCATATAGCATCACTTCTTTCACAGTCAATCACTCTTCTCCTCCTCCTGGATTAAAGGAAAGGGAATTTAGATCCCATTTTTTAATGGCAGAAGTGTCAGTTGCATCATTAAGAGGAGCATGTGAAATGTGAGATCTTGTCATGGCCATTTCTGGAACATGCAATTTGCCAGAAAGAGCACAGTGATTATTAAAACACTAAAATACCTCCCAATCAGTTACTACATAGCAGAGCCCCGAGCCCCTCAATCTCATTGCCCTTCTCCCTACTCTCCCCTGGGACACCCCCTTCTCAGGCCTCCCCAGGATCTATTGTCCGAAGAGTTGATAACCTGGCATAGTCAGGACCTCTGGGAACTTGCTCCAGGCTAGGGCCAAAGTCTTGTGATAGGAATTGCCTTGCTAGCTGTTAAATCTTCTGAGTGTCACCTCTGGCGATGAGGCATCCTCATTGGCAGTCTCCCCAGCCTGACCTAGGAGTCTGGGGAAGCCTTGCTTGCTTCACCTAAGATGTGGGACTTTACCTTCTATTGTGACTTCCCTTCCCTGGTGCTTTTGACCTTCCCTTTATCCTATATAACCCTACCCTCTCCAGGATTTGTACCATCAGTGGGAAGCCAGGACACACAGACTTCTACCTACTTTGCCCTGTCCCTTTGTGACTTCACCCTTCTCCCATGGCAGGATCTTTTCCATTAAGTAGCATTCTCGTGCCCCTTTCTTTACGACCATGATAACAGCAGGAAGAGAGACTGGCAGCTCCCTGCGGGAGAATTTCAAAAATATTATTCCTGTTATATGGGCAAGGTGGGAAGAGGTGAATTGAAAGAAACCAGCAAGGCTCAGGTGACTGACATGAGAACATGCTGATTAGAGAAGCAAGGGAAAGAGGGAGAGCATGGAGTGGGGGCAGCCACAGGACAGGAGGTACTAGAAAGAAAGCAACATGGAAAGAAGATTTGTATAATGATTTGCCATGTCTTCTGAAAGTATATCCCATGAGAGTATTACCATGAGATACCCGGGAAATACTTAAGCTACTTTTCAGTTATTTTGGGTCTTAGTTTTATTGATTGTGGTTATGACTTGCATTTCTCTAATGACTAGTAATGACCAGTAATGTTAAGCATCTTTTCTTTATTGGCCATTTGCCTATCTTTTTTGGAGAAATGCCTATTTAAATCCTTTGCCTATTTTCAAAGGCAAAGGTTGTCTTTTTTTTTTTTCCATTGAATTATGCATTCTTTGTATATTTTGGATACAAGTCCCTTACCAGATATATGATTTGTAACAATTTTCTCCCATTTTGTGGGTTGTGTTTTCATCTTTCTTTCTTTTTTTTTTCTGCGATGGAGTCTTGCTCTGTCACCAGGTATGAGTGCAGTAGCGCGATCTCGGCTGACAGCAATATCCACTTCCCAGGTTCAAGCACTTTTCCTGCCTCAGCCTCCTGAGTAGCTGGGACTACAGGCATGCGCCACCACGCCCAGCTAATTTTTGCATTTTTAGTAGAGATGCGATTTCACTATGTTGGCCAGGATGGTCTCGATGTCTTGACCTCGTGATCCACCCACCTTGGCCTCCCAAAGTGCTGGGATTACAGGCGTGAGCCACTGCACCTGGCCCTGTGTTTTCATTTTCTTGATGGTGTTCTCTGATGCACAAAAGTTTTACATTTTGATGTAATATAATTTGTTTGTTTTTTCTTTTATGACTTGTGCATTTGCTGTCATATCTAAAAAGCCATTGCAGAACCCAAGATCACAAAGATTTACTCCTATATTTTCTTCTATGAGTTTCACAGTTTTCACTCTTAAGTTTGGGATCTATGATCTATTTTGTGTTAATTTCTGGGTCTGGTGTGAGGAAGATCTCCACAATAATTACTTTATATGTGCATAATTTTCTTTGCACCAGCATAAACTCATACTAACTTGTTATAACAATTCTGGACAGGATCTAGTTTGAGGCATTAGAAGGATGAGATGTCAATTTCAAAAGAGCCTCTAACAAAGCAACATGAATTCTGCTAAAACTGAAGAAAGAACAAACATGAAATTTGTGGGGAAGCTTGGGTGGAAAATGGGGAAATCATTGATGCTTTACAAAAAGTTTCTAAGGACAATGCCCACCAAAATCAGAAGTTTACAAATAGATAACTTGTTTTAGGAAGAGACAAGACTATGTTGAAGATGAGGCCCACGACAGCAAACCATTCACATCCATTTGTGGGGAAAAAAATTAGTCTTGTTTGTGCCTTGATTGATGAGGACCAACGATTAACAGCAGAAACAATAGCCAACATAGGTGGACATCTCAATTGGTTCAGCTTACACAATTCTGCCAAAACACTAAAGTTGAAGTACTTGAACAAAATACAAAAGCTGAGCAAAGTTTCCAGTTAATGGGTGCCCAAATCCTTACACCCAGATCAGCTGCAGACAAGAGCAGAGCTTTCAGAGGGAATTTTAAACAAGATCCTGAAGGATTTTTTTTTTTAAGTAATTATAGTAGGAGATAAAACGTGGCTTTACCAGTATCATCCAGAAGGCAAAGCATAATTAAACCAAGAGTTACCAAGAGGTGGGAGTGATCCAGTCACAGCAAAGGTTTGTTTGCTTTCTGGAGGCCAATGAAAACATCTGCTTATTATGAGAGTGTTTTGAGAAAATTACTCAAAGCTTTAGGAGAAAAAACTAGGGAAAGCTTCACCAGAGCGTCCTTCTCCACCATGATGATGCTCCTGCTCATTTCTGTCATCAAACAAGGGCAATTTTATGAGAATTTTGATGGGAAATCATAAGACATACACGTTACAGTCCTGATTTGGCTCCTTCTGACTTCTTTTTGTTTACTAATCTTAAAAAAATCTGTAAAGGGCACCAATTTTTCTTCAGTTAATAATATAAAAAAGACTGTGTTGACATGGTTAAATTCCCAGGACCCTCAGAGTTCTTTAGGGATGGACTAAATGGCTGGTATCATCACTTATAAAAGTGTCTTGAATTCAGTGGAGCTTTTGGTGAGAAATTAAGTCTATACTTTGTATTTTTAGCTTTTCATTCCATTTTCCATAAACTTTTTGAAGTCCCCTCATGTTAAGTATCTACAGTAGCCAAAATCATAGACAGAAAGCAGAATGCTGGTTGCCAGGGGCAAGAGGGAAAGGGAATAGGGAGTCACTTGATGGGTACATAATTTCAGTTTTGTAAGATGAAAAAAGTTGTGGAGGTAGATGATGGTTATGGTTGTGTAACAATATGGCTGTATTTAAGGTCACTGAACTGTATATTTTAAAATGGTTAACATAGTAAACTTTGTGTGTATTTTACCACAGTAAAAAAAAGAAGGAAGGGGAATTCAGATACAAAATTGACCATCTCAGAAAATACAGTGTCACTTTCCCAACCCAACTGGAGAAATTATGTTTCTGTGGTCTCTACGGAGCTATTGTGCCGACTCAGCTACACTGCCCACTGCATACAAGGTTTGGGCAAAATACCTGCTGGGCGAAGCTTTGCCAATATAGAAATGCGTAAGTAACAGGGAAGGCTGATCACCTCCAAACTCTTGGCCCAATGCTGAGCCAAGAGCTCCACATCTGGGCCTTCTTTCCATTGTGGCAACTGAGCCTCCCGTTGCTACTACCATGCAGCTTGGTAATACTCAATTTGGCATAAGCAATAGCAAAGGTGTGCTTCTAAGCTAAAACACCTACAGCCTCAGAAGCATAATGTGCATTCTGAAAGAGGCCTCTGCAAATCTGAAGTATGGAAACATACCTGAGATGGATGGGGTCTGAGACCCCCAAGGTGGAACTGCCAAAAGTCCCAATCCCCTTCTCCCTTTGAGCTCCTATGGCTCTCTTCTTTTACTTAACGGAGAAAACCTTCTGGATTTGAAGTATCAAATATATAAATGTCTGACAGTATCTTGACTGTATATTTCAAAGGTTTATACCTTAAAGGGTTTAAGAATTCTGGTTAAGGGACAGTCTCTAATGGTGAAATTTCTGACATTCATCAGTAGATGGAGTTGATACATTTGAGCCTTATCACAGTCTTAGGAGGCTCCAGGAATCAGAGACATGGTCTCCACTTAAATGTCCAAATCTCCTCCTTAAACAAGCTTCCAATGAGCTACCCAGGTTCTGCTTGAATATCCCCACTGACAGGGAAGCTATTACTTCCAGGAGTAGAAGTTTTCACCTTCGGATAGTCTGTGTATTGAGTGAAAAGGCCTGTGGGAATGGGGATTAGACCAGCTCTTCTGCTTGTGGGTGGAAGTGAGTACATGAGGCCAACTCTGAAGGTCCTAAATTTGATGGGCAGCAGGAGGGGGAGGTGAGATGCATTTCTGTATCATCAGGGCGTGACTGGGACTGTCTAGTACTGCACAAAACATAAGGCTTGGGTGAAACTATACCTAGTCAAAACTCTTATAAATTCTACAGTGGACATTTGGTGGCATTTGTCTTTTCCGGTAACAGCACTTTGGTTTTCATTTGGGGAAGCACTCATTCTCCACTCTTTGCCATAAAGTTCAGGCGGAACTAACATAACTCTCAGCTCCAGGAGTGGTCATGTGACTCAAGCCCTTAAATACGGTGATTGATTTAGGAATGGGCATGTCTTAGTCCATTCTGGCTGCTGTAACAAAATATCATACCTTGGGTGATTCATAAACAACAGAAATTTACTTCTCAGAGTTCTGGAGGCTGGGAAGTCCAAGATCAAGGCAGATTTCATGTCTGGTGAGAGCAAGCTTTCTGACTCATAGATACTGCCTTCTTGCTACATCCTCACATGGTGGAAGGAGTGAGAGGTCTCTCTTGGGCTTCTTTTATAAAGGAACTAATCCTATTCATCAGGACTCTACCCTCATGACCTAATTACCTCCCAAAGTCTCTATCTCTTAATACCATCACCTTGTGGGTTAAAAATTTCAACATATGAATTTGGGGAGTGGGACACAAACATTCCAACTATAACTGCATATGATCCAAACAGAGTGTCCTAGTTACCTCAGGCTGCCATAACAAAATACCATCAACTGTGTGGCTTGAACAACAGAAATGTATTTTTTTACAGTTTTGGAGGGTGGAGTCTGAGATCAGAGTGCCACCATGGCTGGGGTCTGCTGAGGGTTCTCTTCCTGGATAACAGACAGCTGTCTTTTTGCTGTATCCTCATACGTGAGAGATAAAGAATGAGGAAGAGCTAGAGTGCACTCTCTTTGCTGTCTCTTCTCTCTAATCCCATCATGAGGGCCCTACCCTCATGATTTCTTTTTTTTTTTGAGACAGAGTTTCACTCTTGCTGCGTAGGCTGGAGTGCAATGGTGTGATCTTGGCTCTCCGCAACCTCTGCCTCCCGGGTTCAAGCGATCCTCTCACCTCAGCCTCCGAGTAGCCGGGACTACAGGCATATGCCACCATGCCCAGCTAATTTGGTATTCCCAGTAGAGATGGGGTTTCTCCATGTTGGTCAGGCTGGTCTCGAACTCCTGACCTCAGGTGATCCTCCCATCTCCGCCTCCCAAAGTGCTGGGATCACAGGTGTGAGCCACTGCACCCATCCATGATTTCTAAACCTCATTACCTTCCTGTTGTGCGAAACCCCCACTGACTCCAATGGGGATGGCACCAGGTTCAAGAGGCCAAAGAAGAGACCTAGAGCCAGCAAATGAGACATGAGGTTTTATTTGGGGCTTACATACAGGAGAGAGAGTCCAGTGGTGGCGAGCTGGACAGGAGAACCGCGGTACATACAGTCCAGTGGTGGCAGGCTAGATGGGATAACCACATGGGTCAGTGGTAGTGGCCTGGGCAGAAGAACCACAACTGCTTGTAGAAGACATGCAGTTTATATAGCATTTTCACTTAGCACCCTCCCCCTAACAGTTTCCACCTAGCAACTTCACCTAACCTAAAACAAAGGGTCTAGATCTCCTGTATGGCCTGCATTCCACAGGATGGGCCATATGTTCCTCATAGACCCAGATGTTCCTCATACACAAGGAAGGACTCTCCAAGTTGGCCACTCCCAGATTTCCTAGCTTGGAACCCACATTCAGGTGTGTCTGCCATACAGAGTCATTCTCAGGGTATACTTAAATTATTGCTAGTATGCGCATTTACCATACATTCCCAAAGGCCCTATCTCCAAATACCAGCACATTGGAGGTTAGGGCTTTAGCATATGAATTTAGGGGCGACATAGTTCAGCTCATAGCACAGAGTTAATCCCAAATTATTGTGGGTGTAGTTACTAAATAAAAGAGAACCCTGATTATAGTAGAGCCAGCAGTGTCAGAATCTAGATGACCCTTAAGCTTTCCACTTTATGGGCCAAAAAGTCTCCTTTTAGCCAGTCTAAATTAAATTTTCTGCCACTTGCAACTAAAAGATTCTTGAGTAATATGATCCCCAAACTTGCAGATCACTTGATCTCCAAAGGCTGCACTGGCTGGTTAATCAGTTGCTTTGTGTGTGTGTAATGACTGTAGGAGGCTCTTACACTTAAGCCTTCATCAGAATCACTTGGAGAACTTGGTAGAGTCCAGATTGCTGTGCTTCAACCCCAGTTCCTCATTCTGTAGGTCTAAGGTGCAACTTGAGAATTTCTGTTTCTACAAGTTCTGAAATGATGCTGATGCTGTTAGTCTGGGAATCCCACTTTGAAAAACAGTGAAATGGAAGCCCTTGATTCCTGAAATGAGGATACCTGGAATCTTTGTGGCCCAAGATTGAGACAAGGGGTAGGATGAAACTTTTCTTTAGTGGGAAAGAACCATTTTGGTATGCCCTGGGAGTCCTTGGGGAGTTTAATCCTTACTCGTAGCTCCCAAAGGGGAGGTATTATAGTTCCAGAAGAGATTTTCTTAGAGATCCTTTAAAAATGTCTGTTGTGCCTCCCTACAAGGCTTTTCTATTACACTCAGAAAAAATTCAGGTGCCTTACAAGGCATTACATGATCTGGCTTCGCTGGGGAAAGTGGTAGGGATCAGAATCCTTCATTCCCTTGACTCTCCTCTCATGTTCTATGTCAGTAGCTACAGGGCTCATACACACTGGAATCTCCTGGGCCACTCTGGCAGCAAGGAGCATTTTTCAGGCTATGAGATGTAGCAAAATTAATCTTCATAATAACAAAAAACACACCAACTCTTCTCCTCAGCTCTCTAAATGTCTAGGAAATTCTTATTCTATGTTGGTCTGAACTAAACTATATCTCTCAGATGCTTTGGCGCCCAAAAATAGTTCTTAGACTCCCAAGTATGTACTCAGATATTTGGATTGGGAATTGCGATCAGTAGATCATAGTGGCTACAAATAATGACCTATGACTCTAGGAGGAGTCACCAAGCAGTGTGTACCAAGGGCCAAGACAGGGGTCTTAACTGCTCCAGGAGATTAGGAAAGGGGCTCTTCACCATGTAGCAAGGCAACAGGAAGCTAACTCAACCATAAGAAATGCAGTGATAGGTGTTTTGCATAGAGTGGCTTATGTAATCCTGATCCCAACATCATTATTATTACCCCTCTTTTACAGAAGGGAAAGCTGAGGCTTAGTGACACAGAATAACTTGCCTATGGCTACATGCGGTAGCTTGAAAAATGGTCTCTCAAAGGTACCAGGTTCTAATCTCTTACCTTACATGAAAACAGGGTCTTTGCAGATGTGATTAAGTTAAGGATCTTGAGATGGAAAGGCTATCATGGATGATCAGAGTGGGCCTTAAATGCAGTTGCATGTGTATAAGAGGAAAGTAGAGGAAGATTTGACCCCATACACACGGAAAAGAAGGTACTATGACTATGGAGATGAGAGATTTGAAGATGCTGGCCTTGAAGATTGAAGTGATGTGGCCATAAGCCAAGGAATGATAACAGCCACCAGAAGCTGGAAGAGCCAAGAACGGATTTTCCCCTGGGATCCCCAGAGGGAGCATAGCCCTGACGACACCTTGGTTTTGCCCCAGTGATACTGATTTCAGACTTATGGCCTTCAGAATTGTGAAAGGGTAAATTGTGGAAGAATCAGTTTCTTTCATTTTAAGCCACCGTATCCGTAGTAATTTTGTACAACAGCCTCAGGAAACTAAAACACATAAGCCCAGAAATGTGCCCAAGTCTGTCTGGCCCCAATAGCTCTGCTGTTTGCTCTGTACTGTGGAGCAAAACAAGGCAGGAGAAAACAAATGCTACTCCCCATGGTCTGCATTAATAGAGATGGAGTGGGCATGGGAACCCACATAGGACCATTATTTGGCTTGGGAACATGGTGTACTTTTTTTTTTTAATTATGAAGATTTATTTTGCTACATGTGGTAGTCTGAAAAATGCCCGTTGGTTCAAGCTTCTGAGTAACCAAGCATTGACCTAGTGGGCCCATAGTGGCTGGATACTGAGAAGGGGTGATGGGCAGGGACAACCTCGGATGAGGGATGTGCTACAGATCACCCCCAGATGGGACAATCATGTTGATGTGAAAGTGATATTGTCAGATAGGCTAACAGATTCTAAGTAGTATCAGAAGCTGCCAGGTTAGCTTGCTACTCTGCCATAGATTTAACTGGTGGGAACACATCAATCCCATATAGATTAAGATTACTTATTACTTACACAGACAACAGTGGTATTAGCTCCCCATGGCCCTTGATCACAGGATGACACTGGAACAGAAGGGGCCAAGTGACATGCAACAGAGCTGATGGGTCCCTGATGCTGAGGAGCCAATTTTATGCTGCAGCTAAGCAGCTTTACAGCCTGCAGCTGTACCCTGAGGGGAGGAGGAAAAGTGGATAGGCCTGCCTCATCAGAACCAGCAAGGCAGATGAGAAATGGCCATGACAGTCTTCCTGTAGATAGAGAGGTGGGTGAGAGATGGCCTTGTGGCAGCTCCTTGCAAGCCCACCTGACTTCTCATGATCTGGGTGATCAAGGGGTATCCCACCAAGACTTAGGTCAGCAGTGGTTAAGCCTTGCCCCGTAGCCTAGGTAAAAATGTGCGAGGTTGTCAGGGCACCAGCATGGAGGAGTTCCCCTACAAATATGAGCCTTTCACAGTGAAAAGGCAAGAACTTAGATTTTGCCACTTCTTTGAGTCTTCATTTTTGTATTAAGACTTGTGTGTGTGTGTGTGTGTGTGTGTGTGTGTGTGTGTGTGTATACAACAGGGTCCTGCTCTGTTGCCCAGGCTGGAGTGCAGTGGTGCAATCACAGCTTACTGCAGCCTTGACCTCCCAGGCTCAGGTAATCCTCCTACCTCAGCCTCCCAAGTAGCTGGGACTACAGGTGCGTGCCATCACACTGGCTAATTTTTTGTATTTTTTGTAGATGCAGGGTTTTGCCATGTTGCCCATACTGATCTCAAATTCCTGGGCTCAAGTGATTCTCCTGCCTCAGCCTCCCAAAGTGCAGGGATTACAGGCGTGAGCCACTATGCCTGGCATCCTTATGCAGACTCTTGTGTCATATAAAACTCACATCAAATCTGTAGGTTTTTCTCCTGTTAATCCATCTTACATCAATTTAATTCTCAGGCCCAGCCAAAGACCTTAAGAAGGGAGAGGTAATGTTTTGCTTTCCCTACACCATCACCCTAGAAAGTTTCCTATTGTCCCTTTCCAGTCAACCACCTCCCCAAGAAGCAATCACTGTTCTGATTTCTATCCCTGTGGATTTGTTCTGCAACATCATTGTCCAATAGGACTTTCTGCAACGATGAAAATGTTCCATGTCTTCACGGTCCAGTACCATAGCCAATGGCTACATGCAGCTATTAAGCACTTGAAATGTGGCTAGTGCAACTAAAGAAATGAAATTTTTATTCTACCTAATTTTAATTAATTTAAATTTAGATAGCCACACAAGGCTAGTAGCTACCATATTGGATAGCTCCAGCTCTTTTTTTGTGCTTTTGATAGTTTACATTGTTGTGTGCCTCACCAGTTAGTTTCTTACTGCTGAATGAGGTTTTTAAAATTTTTAAATTTATTTTTTATTGAGGTAAAATATATATAACAGAGAATGGACCATTTTAACCTCATTTTAAAAAATTGAGATGGTGTCTCACTCTGTTGCCCAGGTGGAGTGCAGTGGTGAAATCATAGTTCACTGCATCCTTGGCCTCCTGGACACAAGTATCCTCCCGCCTCAGCCTGCCAAGTAGCTGGGACTACCGGTGCACACCACCATGCCTGGTGAATTTTAAAATTTTTTTGTAGAGATATGGTTTCACTATGTTGCCTGGGCTGGTGTCAAATTTTCAGGCTCAAGCTATCCTTCTGCCTCAGCCTCCTCAAGTGCTGGGATTACAGCAGTAAGCTACTACATCTGGCCCCGTTTTAACCATTTTTAAGTGTAGGTTCAATGGCATAAAGTACATTCAACATTGTTGTGCAACGATCACCACCATCCATCTCCGGAACTTTTCCCCTTCCCCAGCTGAAACTCTGTACCTTTTAAACAATGACTCCCTGTCCCCTTCCCTCAGCTCCTGGCAACCATCATTCCACTCACTTTCTGTTGCTGAGTATGTTTTTTACTGCTGGGTAGTTTTTTTTAAAAGCTCAGTACTATCCCCTGCCTCCTTGATATTGCTCTGCTTTGTATATGAGTTGAATCCTTGAAAGTTAAATATGCACAAGACACAGTTCATCTACATGCCTTGGTTTCAGCATGTTCTGTTTGACTAGCTGAGTCTTTAACCGCAGATCCATGCCTTCTGTTTCTCTGAATCCCACATTCTGAATATACTGCCAAGCTGTTGGTATAGACAAGATGTCTGCTCATTGTGAATTCTTGGTACCTGATGGT